CCCCCCATAGGGCAGGACAAACTTCTATTTACTAAGCATCTGCTGTTACCCTGCCACCACCCCTTGAAGACCCGAGGCCGACGCCTTATCCCCAGTCAGGTGGTCTCATACCCCGGCTGCTTTTCTGTCTCTGAGGCTCTCCTGCACGGGGGGGGGGGCTCCATCTCCCTTGTATGCCGGTTCCCACACATATGGGTGAACTGAGGTTAGTCATCTCTTCCCAATCTGTCTCACATCTATGTGATTGTCAGACCAGCCAGAAGACCTGGAGGGTAGAGGAAAACTTGTCCCTCTCCCACAGCACACTGCCCCTGGACCTCCACATCCCCCTCACTTCCTCCCTCTCAAATGGTGGCATGAGCCCAGAGACCCGGACCCTGTACCTTGGGCCTGGGCCTCTGCAGGATTGAATTAAGGGGGTGGGAGGGGAGCCCTGGGTCAGAGGAGCACTCAGTGACTCGTGTCTCAGAGCAGTACCCTCTCTGGGCCTGTTTCCCAGCTACACGCAGGGTCAGACTACAGTAGCTGCTCTTAGCATCAGAGAACTGTGCAGGGGAAGCAAGGGTCACTTTGAAAATTGTATAAAAGCTATGGGCATTCCCAGAGGAGCGTGGAAAGGGCACTCACGCAGTCCTCGAGGGCCCACACACCTCCTGGCTGAAGAGCGAGCCCTGGACCGGGGTTTCCAGATGACTAGATTTCATCGACTGGAAAGATTTTAATTTTGGGGTGGGTTTTTTTTTTTAGGTTAATCCTCTCCCGAGGGTATTTTTTCCATTGATTTTTTTTTAGAGAGAGTGGAAGGTGGGGGGGAGACAGAGAGAGAAACATCAATGTGAGAGAGACACAGTGATTGGTTGCCTTCCACACCCGCCCTGACCAGGGCTGGGGATCAAGCCTGCAACTGAGGCACACGCCCTTAACTGCTCTAATCACTGAGCCAAACCAGCTGGGGCTGGACTGGAAAAGTTTTGAAAGGAAGTCTGGAGAGACATTTGGGTGGCCAGGTTTTTGTTGGTACAAACCAAGTCATCAACCAACCAAGCACAAGAGCTTGCATCTACTCTCTCCACCATTCCCTCAGGGCAGTTTAACGTCAGGAAAGGATAGGAAGGGAGCTGGACCACTCCACTCCCACACTAGCCTGCTGCCTCCTCCCGCCTCCCCCGAATCCCTGCACACGACCCTCCATCAGCGCCAGGACCACAGCGAGGCCGGCTCGTCTCCGGGGACTGCCTGGCACTGTCTCACCGGGAGGGTGGGCGGTAGGACAGGGGCCAGAGTGGAGCCCATGCTCGGCTCACGGCTGATTTCCGCTCCCACCTCGTGTGCGGGGGATATTGAGGTCGCGCCATTGGAGTCTGGACTCTGCGCCTCACGTTTCAGCTCCAGGAGGCAGCTAGGGAGAAGCAGGGGAGATGCAGGCCTCTTGAGGGCCCAGCAGCCAGGCTCTGCCCCGGGGGAACTGTCAGCTCAGGACGGCAGCCGCAGGTTCTTCCTCCCCTTCACCCCCTGCAACCACCCACACCTCTCAGCTCTTTCCAGAACCAGCGGCACGGAGGTACAGAGGACTCCTGGTCACAGGAACTTGGGGCCCATGCACCTGTGACATGGGCTGTGATCAACAACTCTAGGGACACCATGCACAGACTAAGGGTTGACAAAAGTCTTCTACAGAGGGCCATGTAAGTAACTATTTTAGGCTTTGCCACTGTAACAATAAAGCAGCTGAATACAGTGACTGCATGGGCATAGCAGGAGGCTGGGCTGCGAGCAGCAGTCTGCCACCCATGACACAGGACTGAGAGTGCCCCTGGAGGTGGCCATGCGGCAGCCCTGCACTCATCACTGTGCGGCAGGCAGGAAGGCCTGGAGGTCTGAGCTGCCCGCAATAAGACCTCATCTGCTGTTTCTTCAGCAAACTCACTGAATTCATCCTACCCCCAAAGCACAGGGCTCCTCTCAGGCACCCCCACCCGGCATTCTTTCCAAAGCCCATGGCTCTCAGCTCCACCTCCTCCCCCCTCCAACCACAGCTGAGCTCAGGCTCAGGGCACTTCCTGGCTCCCCTTCCTCCACCAAGCACACACCTCGGCGGGCTCAGCGGTTCTGCAGTGGCCCACGCTCCTCTGGACGACCCAAGGCTGGGGACCTCTTCTCCACAGAAGGCAAGGAAGGCACTTGGCCAAGCAGGCTCCCGAGTTCCCTGGAAGCCTACCACGGTGCCCTTAACTTGTGGGTGGATCCCGGCTCACCTAGGGTACAGCACGTCCAGGGAGGCCTTGGCGTCCCTCCTTCCACATCAGCTGTGTGAGCAAAGGTCTGCAGCCCCCAGACTGGAGCATCAGTGGCGCTGCCATCAGTCAGGGACCCCACTGGTCCCCCAACCCCTGGTTCTCTTACTCATCTGGACCGAGGCTTAATGAATGTTTCAACAATAAGGCTGGTTAAGCACCTGACTGCTCCAAGGACCGTGCTCCTACACACCCTGATCCAGAGTCTGCCTCTCTCAGGGCGGTGAGTTCAGATGCAGCCTGGTTGTTTCAAATAAGCACACCTGTGTGAACCGCTTGTTTTCAATCCCACGCTGTACACCCCCCAGAATCCAGCCCCTCCCCACGAAGCCTGAGCACCTAGAGGTGTCCCCTCTTGAAGGGACAGGTGAGGAAGACAGACACCTCCAAAGGGTGTGTGATTTCCTCCCCTGATGTGCAACGTTCCCAGTCCCTTGCAGGAAACACCTTCACGGCAAAACTTCTTTTAAAGAAATGCTTTATTGCTGCATTTAGACACCCCGTGTATAGCACAAATGAGCCCCATACAGAGAATTATTCAAGTGGGATACTGAGAAACAGTGAACGTACACAAAAGGATACAAAACTAGACATTTAGAGAACTAGAAACTTCCTAAGTGCCTTTTAGAAACTACATCACACATGCCAGTGTAAATTTGGTTTTTATTATCAACTTTCTAGAAACACTGCATCTAAACAGGTGGTGAGCTGTTTAGGTCTTTCCTGGGCTAGAGTTGGAAACTGTCTATTTCAAATCAGATCCAAAAGGGTAATTTTTCAAACATGAATTTGCATCAGGCCAACTCCACAGCATCACAGGGGTTTGCCCTGCTGTTCCCAAGCCTCCTCCAGCCGGGCAGCTGACCACCGGGCCACAGAAGCAGCTCCAAAACCAGCCAGGAATTACCTGAGGCTCTCCAAGTGGCCCAACTGCCTGGGGCCTGCACCTCTGTAGCCAGGTAGGGCACACTTGAGGGTTGAAAACTAGACTCATAAGATTGAAGAAAGTGAATTGAAGTAAAAAAAAAAGGGGTGGTGGGGGGACACACATGTTAGAGGCCTGGAGTAGGAAGAGACCTTTAAGAAGTTTTCAGGAAATTCTTAAACTCAGGCACAAAAACCAAATTACTGCTGGTAGCCAAAGAAGTCAGAAACCCTTGAGTCATACTGCAACTTGGGGGAATAAAGGCCAAATCAGAGAGGGCTGGCTGGTGACACCCAAGGGCCGCTTCCATTTCCTGCTGGACTGGTCTGCAAGTCCCAGCCCTCCTGGCCCCAAGACCTGCAAGCTCATCCCATTTCTATATGGTTCAGCCAAATGCCATCCTCCCACTAAAGCCAGGTGCAAAATGAGGGGAAACTGGGGATTAACCCTTCAAAGTATTTAGAGGGCAAGTGAGAGACTAAAGGGAACACCTGGCAGACCCACTGTCCCCACTGGATGGCAGCACAGCACAACCTGTGAAGGGCTTCCTGCCACACTGTAGTCCCCGGGGAAAAGATAGAGCTGGGATTGAGAACAAGTCAAGGGTACTTCAACGAGAACCTGCAGGAAAAGAGAAAGGGCGAGGGAGCATCTGTGTGTCTTTCTGGGAGAGGAAAGAAGGACATGGGACAGAACCCCACAGGCAGAGGGTTTTTGGGAACTTGGGAGATGAGATTGTGGCAGGCCTTCCTGGAAAGAAGTGAGGGCTTCACATAAAAATCTGCTTGGGCATGAGAGCAACAGCACAGTTGTGGTCGCAAGGCACCTCTCCTGTTCTGTAACAACAGGGGGTGCGGGCCACAGTGGTGAGTTACCCAAGCACATTTACCCCTGTGGGAAGTCTCAGTGATTTTCAAGTTCAACATAAGAGGTTCTGTCAGGGGAGAGGGAAGGACCCCGTCTTCACCTGACCACACAGCCACTGTCAGAGGGGAGCAAGGGCCTTGCCTAGGCCACTCCTAAGGGCAGAGTCGGGGACGACCAGGATTCAGCAACCCTGAGTGAATGGTCTGCCTGGAGTCCCCAGGCTGAGGAGGGTGTGGGTAATTGCACTTTGGGGCACAGTGACCAGGGCTCGGGCTGGACGTGGCCTGGGAGATATTGAGAAGGAGAGCTGATCAATGCTCAGGGGTTGGCTGTGGCTGGGGCAGCCCAGGCAGGGGAAGGCCAGGGCAGAGCAGCTCCTTAGATCAGAACCTGCAGTCCTGAAGTCGGATTCTGGGGGGAGGAAGTGGCAGAACAGAGTCTGCTACCACAGGCTCTCCATCAGCGCTCAGACACCCTGCAGCCTCCCCCTGGCTTTCCAAACAAGCCACGGGGCCAGAGGAATTGTCTGTGACCCTTGCAACACCACAGGTGAGGAGTCTAAGGTGCAGAGGACTAAGGGCAGGGCACCTGGGCACTGCACCCCCAAGGAGTTTGTGCCAGGCAGCTCTGCCAGGGTAAGTGAGCACCCAGGCAAACCCACGTTACTCTGGGTAACCCACGGTCCTCCTCGCCTTCTCCTGCAGTTAACTCACTTCCCTGGTGTGGAGACACTAGTTTTTAAAAGTAGAATTTTAAGTAAACTCTTCAAGGGACAAGAGCCATTTAATGGTAGTGGTTTTGGTTGTTTTATGAAAAATGGTACAGATCATCCCTGGTGACAGAACAGACTGATCACAGGCCAGGGCCCCTAAAAGACCATCTCTGTTCAGTACAGTTAAGGCGACCAATGGCTGGGGGTGTGGCTGAGGGCAGGAACATGGTGGGCCATGGCAGTCGCTACTCACTCTGGCCCTGGTCCCAGAGCCAGCCTGTCTGCCTCTTTACCTGGGCATCTAAAGTACCTCCTGGAGCAGAAGCTGGCCGGAGCAGCAGGACCTATGGTGTGCGCACAACCCTGGGCCAGGCGGTGCCTGCCTGCTCTTCAGTGTGGAGCTAGCAACAAACTAAAGAATGGTTTTTAAATACCCAGTTTTGGTTTAATTGCTCACTTCTTTTTCTTTTGTTTAGATCTCATAGGCCCTTTCTTTTTTCAGTGTTGACAAAGAAAGAAATGTTTGGGGCGGGCCTACAAAGACTTGTCATAAAACAAACAGGCTTGAAGCTCCAGAATTACGCTCACATTGCCCTTTAGATCCATTCATTCCCTGAAATGTTAGGTGGAAGTGTCAGACCTGTTTGTCCTGCTTATGGTCACAAGTCCCTTTAATGGACACAGAATAGATGTCACGTTTCTTAGAATATATAAGGCAGAAAAGGTTTTAGATCTATTATAACATAAAAGAGATCATCAGGGTCATGAAAGAAGGTTTCTAAATGAGACATTCGTTTAAATGTCAATCTTACTGGACACATAATAAAATAAAGATTCTCTTGTTGTAAAGTGCTGTTTGCTTAGTGGCTTGCCTGCCACCATGCACAGAGCACCACAGCCCACCTGCTCGGGAGGGCTGTCAGGGGCAGCGTCAGCAGAAGAAGCTAGTCTTCCAAGGCTCTCCTGTGAGGAGGGAAGTCCTCGCACCATGACCAGACACTCCCAAATGCTGCACCCCAGGCTGGGACTGCTGCCAACTGGATGAGCTACACACCAGGGCCTGGTGCCACCCTGCTCCTCCCTCAGGTTTGACATTTTATTTTCTCATTCTGCTCAAGACCATAGGCCAGCTCCCTACTGCGGCATCTTGGGTCTTCCACCTCCCCACCGATAGACGTGGGTAGAAGTGGAACCCAGACACATACAGCCGACGTGAGAGCTTTCCAGAGATTCACTAAACAGGGCTTAGAAAAAGAGGAACCATTAAAAAGAGTCACCTGTCCAGTCTGTGCTAATAAAGCACATTAGAAAGGTACACAATTGGCAGTAAACAATTTCCTTCAGCTATTCACACATGTCCAGGAAAACTATTCCCTTCACATGATCAGACATGAACAATTTCTGCTCCAGTGTCTTCAGGTTCTGTGCAGCATGAATTTGTGTCAGAATGGCAGATTCCACGTCCATCTTTATTTTCCAAGTTGGGCTCTGTGAGTGCAGGTTTTTCAAAAATATTCTTTTTGCTTGTCTCTGGACAGTTCTGAACATAGATCACTCTGTTATAAGCCTTGAGTCTCTTCCACAATTGTACATACACTTTGCACTGAACATACATAAAAAGAAGTCCGCCAGTAAAGCCGATGGCCACCACCACCAATTTAGTCCAAAAGGGCCACTCTAAGATTCCTGGAAGGGAAAGACCTGGTTAGCCTCTCAGCTGACATTATTTAAGATCTGAAATAAGTAAAACACAACTCATGAACTTCCTATAACCCATGGATTCCCAACTCATCAAAGCCTGCTTCACTGAAGCGGGAGCGGGAGAGGGTGTCCACTGCTCTCCCAGGAGGCAGTTCATGGAGATTCTCTCTCCCCATTTCATCTCTTCTGACTGGGCTTTAAAAACTACTCACAGCAAGAGAAACATCCCAATAGGATGGCTGACTGCCTCACAGTTGGTGGCCCCTTCCAGAAACCCAGACACCTGAGGTCTGACTTGAAAATCAACCTGGAGTAACACTCACTCCTGAGACCCATGTGCTATCCAGGCTATTTCTGCAGGGGGCCCCATTAGTTCTGGGCACATACCTGTCGCCTGCCCCTGCTTGATTTCCTCGGCTGTGCGGTCGATGAGCACATATAAGGACCAGACCACACAGGTGATGGCAATGATGTGGAAGGTCACCGAGCACATGATCTTCCTGCGCTCGCTGGCTGTCATCTGCAACTTCTCCCACTGCAAAGAGAACATGCAGACGGGTTCAGGCTCACAGAGCACAGGCTGTGATGGGGAGAGCACTGGAGATGGGTGAGACTGGCTTTCCTCCCTCGCCCCCTCCCAAACTAAATGAATTTTCCCCAATACCCGTCATTCTCTTTAAACCATTTGGCTTCAATCAGGCACCAGGTACTGGTATTCTGTCAACAGCCAACTTTCTATGCAATGACAAGAAGCTGGGATCAAGATGAGCTATGAACCAGGACCAGCAGCCCGTATCTGCTTAGTGCTGCAAGCAGATCAGATGTCAGTGGCTTGATAAGGAATTCTATGGTCTCAGTGCTGATGGAAACCTCATGTTGGCCCCAGAGCCAGGTGGCACATTTTAAGTCTCTCTGGCCTGCTGGCCAGCATGGGCAAGGGAAGGAGAGGGTGATGACGCCACGACACATTAGCAGATGGGTCACTACATCGTGAGGGTGATGCGGGAGGCGCTCACTCTTTGCTCCTTTGCTACTTTGGCAGCAACAGCTTGAACTCGATGCTAAGAGCTCCTGGTACAAGCAGTCTCTGCCAGTCCCATCTCCTCTAGGAACTCATTAATTTACTCCAAATAGCCAGATTTTCTTTTTCATTTATCGGTTTCCGAATGAGAAGAACACATAAAGGTAGAGAAAAAGAACAAAGTGTAAACACTGTGTATCCTCTGCCCGCCCCGGTCACAGCCTCTGTGGAGATGGTTCTATGCAGGAGAGGTTGAGAGTAGAGCCTCACAGGTGACTGATATTGGTCAAAGTGCCATAAGACTCACCTGAGACTCCAGCAGAGTAGGGGCCAGGATACTGTAAGTGCCATAAGACTACTTTAAGTAGTTTGTGCCTGACTTCTCTAAAGTCCACACTGCTTCCTGCTCCAGGTTGATACATGTTCATTTGGCTTCTTTCCTAAAATGCTTTCCTGCCCCCAGATTTCCTGTTATTTCCTAAGACATACTCAGTTCAAGCCTCTCACACTCCCCTGACATGCTCACCTCATCTCTTTGGTGTATGCTTTTCTCCAGAGACAATCTGACCTCTGCAGGTCCTTTTACTTCACCTCCAAATCCTACTGACAGGTCACCTCAAGAGCTGCTTTGACACCCCAACATTCTGTGATGCTACTGCTCCACCTCCCCAAGCTCCAGCTCACAACGAACTCTTTGTCCTGAGTGCCTGGGTATGTTCTACCGCCAGGTGCGTTAGCATTTAATTGGCATTGTCATCTGATGATATGATTCCCTTCTCAATTTACATATTATAATTTAAGATAAAAACAAGTCTGTGTTGTTCCAGACAAACCTTATGCTCTAGACATGGAGAAGACACTGAACAGACCACGCTTCCGGGACATGTGTGCAGGACAGGGCTCCTTGCAGAGGAGCAACAACAAGGGCCTGGCCGGAGCTGCGCTTCCTGTACAGTCTTTTGTTCCCTTCTTTCCCACCCACCCCACCCTCCCACCTAAAACACTTCTCACAGAACAGACAAATAAAGGTACTATGTTGTGCTATGCTTTGTGCTGGGGAAAGACATTAAGCTCTAAAAGAGAGTTCTAATCAGAGGCAGGGCATAAAGAGCTAATCCATATAAAGTTAAATGCTGACTGAACTGTCACAGAACAGGTCAAGGACCAAATGACTGACACAGACGAGCAAGCAGTCTCCATTTGAAGAAAAGAGAAAACACTCTGACTGAGAGGAGGGACTTGGAAATCAGGACCAGAAACAGTGGTCTCTGCAACGTGATTGTGCACACCAGCCCCTCTTCTTACAGCAATGAACAGAGGAAGCTAAGGCTCCCCCCAGGCCAGGTGCTAGCTCCTCCCGCCGGACACTCATCTCTGGCAGGTTAGAGCCCCTCCCAGGTGTCTGTGCACATACTTTTCTCAGCGGCTTCAGCTTGGTCTCCATGATGAACTCGTACTTGCAGAGCTCACAGCAGCGCGTGTCGGAGCTCTTGATCCACTGCTGCAGGCAGGCCTGGTGCACGAAGTGGAGGCTCCCTGTGCAGCGGCAGGGGGTGATCAGAGGGCTCTCTTCATCCCCTTCACAGTGACAGATCCTAGGGTGGCAGGGAAGCCAGGGATTACGAGCAGGGCTAATGACAGGGAAGATAACACTTCCGTGAAGGTCCATACCCCCAAAGAAAACTTTCAGAAACAAACACCACAGAATTAACTACAAGCACAAAAACACACAAACATAAATGAGGACAGTTACTACAGACTGCACATTTCTAGCTTACCGCACCGACACGGAAAGTCTGGGTGGCACTTGGCATCAGAGAGGAAGAAATGGTGTAAGAAATGACAAAGTGGTCACTTTGGGTAAGACTTAAGAACTTCTGAAAGACAAGCTTAAGGCAACATGGAACCATCTTCCAGAACTTAAGATGTAAAAATAATTAGAAAAAAAATCCTGTGTAAAACAAAACCAGCACTCCACCTTCCAAAATTACCACTGATTTAAAAAGACGGCCGGATGTGCTTTTTTTGTTCTCATCACTGACCTCACCTCCACACCCACAACTACACATTCCCATTAGGGAGTAACAGATACATCTCAGTACCTCTCCTGGACCTAAAAACAGTAAAAGGTACTGCAGTCTCATCTCTTTTTGCAGAACCACTCACAGCAATGAGTGAAAATTTTAAATCATTTGTTATATGAAATGTTCAGGGTACATGCAACAGGATAGAACTACTAACCTCGAGGAACTAAACAAACTTCTGAGAAACAAAACAGTCTTTCCAGCAGCTGAAGAGCAGGCACCTAGCCTGAAAGGAGCTGGGCAGAGGCCCTGGCCAGGCTCTCAGCTGTTTGTCTCTGTGACAGGGGTTTCTGATCCAATTGTTAGAAATGATAACAGCTGGCCCTAAGGAGGGGGGACTGGAGGAAGGTTAGAATGGGGAAGGCATAAGAGTGGTGATAAAAAGTGAATTCTGAGAGATTTGGGGGCCATTATCTCCTCCCACATGAAGGATGCTGCACATGGAAGAGATAAAAAAAGGACAGGGGAATTAGGGCCTGGATAGAGGTGGCTGCATCCAAGTTAAAAAGAAGGCAGGCAGGCAGGACAGCCTCTCCACAGGCAAATCATGTTGTAGGTGGAGCAAGGGGTCAAAATGAGGTTGGGAGGGGCAGCCAATCCTGAAAATCTAGAACATCAAGCCGGAATACTTCCTTTCTTCCAATTGCTTTATGCAAAGTACTTAACTTTAGTTGAGGAGAGTCAGCTTGACCTTTAATATGTGTAGCTTCTTCCTGTTTTAACATCTGTGAAACTATCTTGGGACCCATGTCACAGAAACTGGTTTTTCAAATGATATCAGTACTCCATTCTTCTGGAGAAACTATTAATCCACGATTGTCTACATCTGCCTACTAATTCATTTTCCTGAAACTTCACATATTAAAAGCAAGATGAGGCTACACAGGCATGGGGAGCAGAGATGGGCAGAATGGTGGTTCTTGGCAAACCAACCTGCAGGCATCCCCTGATGGGGACACAGGAGAGGTGGGGGGGCATTTTTCAGAGAGGGGAGAGGAACAATCCAGATCACTGTCCTTCTCCACTGAGCAGAGGGGTGCCCGCAGGGCCTTGCTCTTCGATCTTGCGGATGTGTTGTCCTCAAAGACGTCATCATCTCCCATGTCGTCAGAGCAGAAGCCCGTGCTCCCTGCCCGCCCGCTGGAGGACTTGGCGCTGTGCACGTGAGCAGCACAGCTCTCCAGCTCGTGGAACCTGTGCAGGCTGCTGGCACTTGAGCCACACGAGAGGGAGAACAGGTACCTGAGCAGTCGCCGGCTTCTGGAAATGGCCTCACCATCCTCTTTCTCTTCCAAAAGAGGGACATGCATACCTCTCTTGCCACCTTCCACCTCTGAGGCAGCTGAATGATTGGCAAGTAGGGATGAAACACAAGAGTGTTTGGAATGACCAAGAGGTTTGCAATTCAGTGTTCTCTTTTGTTTATGATGGAACCTGTTAATTCTAAGATGCGGATCTTGAGAGAGCATCAATCTCCCTTCAGAGCAAGTTCTTCCCACATAGTCAAAATTTCCCAAAATGTCCTGGGCCTTCTCGCCCACATCGTTTAGGGACTTTGAGAACTTTAGTGTTCTTCTGGCCTTGGTGTTCTTAGCAGGCTCCAAGGCCTGGGCCCATTCTGAGCTGCCGGGATCTCTCTTTGGTGCCTGCAGTGTGTCCTTACAGACCACTGTCACAGTGAGCCCTTGTGCCAGGGAGCTCGGGCCCTGAGAAGCTTTCAGGACAACAGCAGACTGCATGGGACTGTGGTGACAACACTCAGAAAACACTGCACTGGAACTGCATGCAGAGAACAGTGGGATAAAACACAGAAGTAAAAACAATTTTTAAAGAGAACAGACATACAAGTGAAGAAATGAGACTCATGTTGGTAACTTGGTGAGCACAAGCACATAGAACTGGGCTGACTGTTTAGAGCAAAGGCATGTTGACCAAGCAAATGAAACACTGAGAACCTGCAGGCACTAGTGCTCTTCCGGGGTGAACATGAACCACTGTAGCATCTGAAGCGAGTGTTACCTGCAGATGTCCTGACTGGAAGGTGTGACAGAAGAGCGAGAGAAGGCAGACACTGGAGCCGACACCAGCGGAGGAGCCCCGGCCTGCAACGACACACCTCCTGTCAGTTTCTAGGAGTCAAGAGGACTGTGAACACCACCTCCTTCTGAGGGAATGGGGGGAGATCTAGGATGCCTGCTAGTTCCTACTGCTCAATGAGTAACTTGTACTAGATCCCTATAAGCTGAGACAGAACAAACCAAACAGCACTCTTTTCTTGTATGGAGGTAAAAGTGTAGCCAAGAAGTATCTGAGACTCTGGAACAGCACCATCGACCTGAAGATTCACTGGTCATTTATTTCCTAAGCACCTGAATTTAATTAGTTGGTGCACAGGTCAAGAATCCAAGTACTACAAGGTGCATGGCAAAAGCAAAGAGCTGAGTGATGCACCGTGACCACCGGCACTTGCTTCCTGCCAGTAAGTTCCGGGGAACCCTAACCAGGGCTGGCAGGGTATGAGCACGCTCTCCTGCTCACCACCTCATGGTTGGGCCACAAAACCAGGCTGCCCTGCCAGAGCTCTTTATACAGAAAGGAGACTACAGGGCCACCAATCCATGGCTCAGCCTGTGGCCCAGAGTGGGGTGAACACAGAATGCTCCCAGGAGTTCTAATCAAAACAAATAGAGAAAATTTAAATTTGGAAGTACATGTAGCAGGAAGTCATGAGATAGAGCCAGGGCTCTGAAAGGTCATGAGTAAGCCCAAATTAGGGAAAAGATCTAGGAGGGTGAGGAACCACCAGAGTGGTAAGAGATGTGGAAGGAGAGAGAGCAACAGGGAGTGTAGCTGAGCATAGGACACAAAACCCTCCCGCTACCCAAATTCCACACAAATGAAGTGATGCATGGCTTACCCTGCAGCCTCCCGCTCCAGCCTCTGTGGGCCCTGGCTAGTTCCCAGGCCCTCACAGCACCATGCCTGCACGTAAATGCACTCTCTCTCCCTAGGACAGCCTGAGTGAGAATCTGCTCCAGGCAGCCTACACAACCACAGGAAACTAGTACAGTTGTCCCTTGGTATCTGGGGAATTCATTCCAGGACTCCCTGTGGACATCAAAGCCCACAGAGGCTCAAGTCCCTTACACAAACTGGTGCAGTGCTTGCATATAACCTATATTTGCAGAGAGGCTGCAGCATCTCACTTCATTTGTGTGGAATTAAGGTAGTGCTCGGCGTGTCGCTAATTCAAATTTTGCTTTTTGGAACTTTCTGGGATTTTCCCTCCAGTATTTTCAATCCTCAGTTGATTAAATGCACAGATATGAAAGCTATGGATGTGAAGCCCGTGGAGGCGGGAGGCGAGCTGTACTATGAGTTTGTTATTGAGAGCAAGCCCACAGCACTTCTCTGACCTTCCCGAGGACCACTCCAGTGGCCCTCAGCCCTGCTCCTTGGGGAGTCCCACTCTGGTCCACAGTTCCAGCTGAGGTCTGGCCCCCACTTTTGCTAAATACCACCCCCAAGGGTGCACTTTCACCCTGGAACTCCAGCCACAGGACCTCTGACATCAGTGAGCCACCAAGACAGGCAGCACCATTGTCCAGAACCTCTCCCCTCCCCCATCCTGCAAGCATATCAGCCTGGAGAGAACCAGGGCCGGCACGCAGGTATTCACTGGACCACTGTTTCTGCTCCTCAGCACGGGGAGTAACATTTTTAAAAAATGTTTTTATTGATTTTTAGAGAGAGAAGAAGGGAGAGGGAGAGAGACACAGAAACATCAATTAGAAACATCACTGATGGGCTGCCTCCTGCACACCCCCTACTGGGGTCCAAGCCAGAAACGTGGTCATGTGCCCTGACTAGAATTGAACCGTGACCTCCTGGTTCCTAGGTTGACGCTCAACCACTGAATCACAATGGCCCAGCAGGGCCTAACATTTTAAATCCAACTAGGCCTGAAGGCACCTTCTCCAGGAAGTTACGACATGCTGCATATATGCTAAACCATGTGGTACTCCTCAATTAGCACATCTTCTGAGCCACCAGAGAATCTGCATCTGTTTTCTAAAAGAATGTGCATATGAACGCTGGGTATATTTTCTTTGGAAGAATTACTGGTCAAAATTTTTAAGATTCTAATGTTTTGGTTTTTTGTTTTGTTTTTAAATTATTGGTATTGTAGGGTTTTTTTGTTGTTTTTAAACATATCTTTATTGATTTCAGAGAGAGGAAAGGAGAGAGAGAGAAAGAAAGAAACATCAATGATGAAAGAGTCACTGATCAGCTGCCTAGCCCGCAACCCGGGCATGTGCTGACTGGGAATCGAACCCCGATCTCCTGGATCCTAGGTCGATGTTCAACTGCTGAGCCACGCCCGACCAGGCTGTTGTGTTTTTTTTAAATATATCTTTATTGATTTCGAAGAGAGAGAGAGAAACATCAATGATGAGAGTGTCATTGACTGGCTGCCTCCTGCACGCCCCTGAATGGCGACTGAGCCCGCAACCCAGGCATGTGCCCTGACTGGGAATCAAATCTCAATCTCCTGGATCCTAGGTCGATGCTCAACTGCTGAGCCACACCTGGTCGGGCAAGATTCTAATGTTTAATTTATTTGGAGACATGAAAATGACCCCCCCAAATAACCTGTCATGACATTGTCACAATTCTTCCTGAACAAAAATGAGGAAGGGGGTGTCTCAGGACCTCGTGGACATTACACTGTTACAATCCCATTGCTGAAGCCACCCTCTACCTGGCAGCCATCCCCAGCCTCATTGGTGGGGGCTGCTCTGCCCCAGCCTGGCCAGAGAGCAGGCACAGGCTCTGCTGTCCCACCTCTGAAGATGAGCACAGGGCCTTTATTGTCACTCACCAGGGGGAAGGGGCTGAGGGCAGCTGCACTAAGGCCCCCAGCTCCTGACAGCCTGTTGTCTGACATTCAGTCCTAACCCCATTTTATGGCAGAAAGCCTTCCTGAACTTCTTGCTCCCTTCTTTTACTTCTAAGGGTGACCAGCTCTGTTCAGAGTCTGTAGGCAGGGCTAGAAATGCATCCCGAAGGCCATGAGCTGGTCACGCTGTGCTGTAGAGAAGTGAGAGTTGTCACCATGCCTCCCTAAGTAGACTTTAGAGGAAGGGAGGACAGGAATGTGCAGCTACATTCACATCCTATCTCCTCACTGTATGAGATCAGCTCTCCTTCCTCAATGTTGCTGGGTCAAGTTTAGTAGCTCAGACTGAGGTCCAGAAGAATGTGCCCTGCCATACAAGGGAGGGAAGGGTGCACTGTTCCCCCAGAAGACAGGGAATTACCTGGTCATCGTGTTCCCTGTGGGATGACATGATCTCTTGAAACCAAGTATACTTTCCTGTATTCTGAAGGTAAGGGAAGGGAACCCCTGTGGGAGGAAAGTAGGATCTTATTGGGAGAGCGAGGCTCTGCCAGGGTCAGTGTACTGGGAGGAGGCAGGGCTCAGATGGGAAGCTGAGATCAAAAGAAACTGGCCTGTCTCTCCTGTTCTGACCTTCAAGTATTCCATGTGAAAATGGGAGGTCTGGGGTAACTGTTACATGACACGCTAGGGGACTGCTCAGAGGGAGGAGGGAGAGCACAGAGCAGAACAGTCTGCATCGAGGAAGCAGCCTGACTGTCCAAACTGTGGCAGGACTGGTGACCACTTCTCCGCAGATTCCTCACCAGTGTCTCGTGATGAACCCACACATAGTCGTGTCTGTACCTGCAGCAGAGCATCATGCCTAGGAGGCAGAGGCTGTAGTCCTAACCCTGCTCTCCGTCTGTTAGGAAACAGGAAGTGTCTCAGCGTCCTCTATCCTCGGTCCTGCCCTCATTCATCCTCTCCAATCCCACAAAAAACATCACGAGACAGTCGGCATAATGTCCAAACCTCGACAAACCCCCCAATAACAGAAAAAAGTCTCCTTTCACATTAGATCATGAGGTTTCAGGAAAATTCTTAAAATCTACTTACTGTAGTTTTACATAAATACAAACCAACAAAGGCCTTATCCTGACTGACTCCTCCAGTAAGAGTGGGAACGAGCAAGATTTGTGGGGCCGTCAGCTCCCAGGAGAGGCTCCTTCTGCCATCAGCTCAAGAGCAGCACAGGATGCGTTCAGGATCAGTCCATGTGGATGCGCACAGAGTGCAGCTAAGCAACTGGCATCATCTGAGTAAAATCTATCAATCTGCCAATGAGGACTTAAAACACTGGCCTGCAACAATGGCAAAAAAGTGAAGCTTACAGCTTCAAATATTGTTCCAGGGTCAAACTGTCAAGAACAAGTCAAGCAAGGGCTAGCAGCCTCTACTCAGAGACTCAGAGCAGGGAGACAGCCTTCCTGGGAACAGGAGGCGGAGCAGCATAGGGGAGGCTGTGAACAGCGCTGGCCTCAAGAGAAAAGGTGTCTCCGTGCCATACCCACTCCTAAGAGCACCCTCTCCCTCCACAAGGATCAAACACAGGACTGTTACTGCTAAAAGGTGTAAAGGTTCCTAGTAAGAAAATGCAAACGTGTGGAGAAAACTTAGGCTCTCTGCTCCTGAAGTTCTTGGCTGGTTCTCAAACAAGAGACCTGTCATGACAAGGAATGTAAAGCAATCTCAGTACAAACACTTTTTATAAAAATCCCCCTTTGTAAGATGTTGTCATCAATTTTGCCAAAACAAACCCCTGGATTCTGTCTAGGCCTAAATCCCAGCGGATCTGATTTCCTAAGAATGACAAAGACTGCTGGACCTTTGTTCTGCTGTGCTCAAGCCACTCAGGGGTTGCCTTCCCTCCCATCAGGCTCACATATATACTGTTAGGCTCACACAATTCTGTTAGAATTTCATCCTCACGCATACGGCAGCAAAGGGCTGGAATAACCTCAAAGCCATAGGCTTGGGGACAATGTGTCAATAAAGGCACATTGACAGAAAGGAATGCCAGGTAGTCATTAAGAGGTGCAAGCTCCTGGTGCCCAGTGATGGTAAATGGGGGGAACAGCAGAGGGGAGAGCCACACAGTGCACACTGGCACGTGCACACTCTCTAGCAAGGCTCCTAACAGTGGTTCCTCTGAAACATGGAAGAGTAGTAGGCACCCTGGGTGGGAGGACACTGACTTTTCATGGAGACCCTTTCCAACCATTACACCACTTTTACCATAACAGGTATTTCCTAAACACAAATTCATTTTTAAAATAACATGAATTTAAAAGTTTAGGAAGTAAAATAAAACTACAAAAGCACAACCAACTGTAATGATTTTCCAATTCTGGAAAAACCAGTAACGAAACTGATTTAGTAGGTCATGAAATACATTTTTTAAAAAACGAAATAAAATGTCTGAGTACATCTGACATCATAAGGATTAAATCTTTGGAGGGAATATTTTCTTTCAGTTGTATGTGTGAGTGAACTGAGTTTCAATGTAAAAACTACTTATGAAGGATCATGGTCAAAATAATTTGAAAGTCATTACATATCTACAAAGAAAATACAACATATCAAAATAAGCACAAAAATATGGCTAAAGAGAGAGCTTGTTACACTGCTAGCACAGAGATATCAGAAGTGATGGGCTCTGACAGTTCCTAAGACAGGTCTTTCCTCTACAGTCTACATGGGTAGCATTTGCCACCTGTGTTAGATTTCTATCTCTGTGTGAGAAATCATCATAAACTCAGTGGAGTAATACTACACAAATGTATCATCCGACACAGTGTGATGGGGTCCTCTGCTCTGGGTCTCCCCTTTTGAAGGTTCTGGGGAAGAATACACTTCCACGTTCATTCAGGTTGTTGGCAGAATGCAATTGCTTGCAGCTTTACAACTGAGGACCACGTCTCCTTGCAGGCTGTCAGCAGGGGCTGCCTTCATTCCCATCAACCCTTCCCCACCTTCACGCCCACTCTTGCCTGTGATCTCTGATGGCCTCCAGCCACCAGCCAGAGAAGGCACTCTGCTTTTAAGAGCTCATGTGATTCCCATTCAATCAACACGACGTGATCATAGTAGTGACACCTCATCATAGGTACAGGTTCTGGGCATTAGGGTAGGATATCTTTGGGAGATCATTTTGGAATTTTTGTTTACCAGACCATCTTACATTTCCTTCCTACTCAGCCGGTTACTACCCGCTCCTGTGCTCCCACACCGAGATAATAACCTGCCCTCATTGCCAGCTCAGGAGGCCTGACTTCATATAATAAAGTCAAATAAAGTCTCACTTGTTTAGACACTGCAAGGTATGAACTGAGATTGTATTTCGTGAAACTTTCTGCTTAGCACAAATGTCACTCTGTGAAAACAAAGGTTTTGTTATGAGAGACTCTGATTTCTATAAACACCCATATGTATTCAACTTCAAAAATGAGCTATAATTAAAGGAGGAGAGGCCAGTTCTGTGGCTGCTCTGATGAAGGGCTGTGCCAAGAACAAGTTTACACAATGGGAATTAATTAAAATTAGCTATGTAAGAAGTACACATAGAATATATACAATATGGGATTCATGGAGGAGTGTGCAATAAAAACTACTGTATTCTAAAATGATTTCCATTATAAATGACTCTCAGCAAGTAGGGCTAACACTGAATTCTTTTCTTTGGTGGCCTTTTAGAGAGTTAGAATTACATGAACAGTAGTACATCCTCAGGAAAAGCAGGGCATATATCACAGCATCGCTGCAGGCAAGGCAACAGCAGAAGGGACTTTCTCATGACTCATCTTCCAAAGCAGGTCTTTAAGCTGCTGTTGAGGATCTTGCAAATATAACTTGTTTTCAATAAATTACACTGAAGACAATGATTTCTGAAAACACATGGCTTCACATTCCCCAAAACTATAAATGTAACCACATAAAGATCCAAAATCACCAGAAATAACAGTGAAAGGGCTGTGTTTCTGGGCTATTTAAGAGTCAAAAGGACCCTTTACTCTTACTAACTTCCTGCAAATATAATGAAAAGACATTTTTATTTCCAAGATTCTCCTTTGAGAAAATTCTGGGGCAATGGCAAAATCACTGTTTTTTAAGTTTAAAGTCATTCTGTGTTCTGGCACCACTCCACCAAGCACACCACCTCCCAAGAGCTTACCCTCTTGGAATAGGAGTTTAATCACTTAAAAATTGGGTCAATAATCCACAGGGCTGCTAAAAGGATCAAATAAAATCAGAGGAGATGCAAAATGCGAGCACACCACTCCAGGAATACCTCCACCGTGAGGCGAGGCTCCCCTGTAGAAGACTATGCTGATGATCTGCAGAATAAACTTGTAGGCATCTCTGCTATAAAATGTCCTTATTCCAACAGAGGTGACCACAGGCCACTCACCTGGGATGAATAGAGTTTCTGCATAGGCTGCTCATCTACTAAGTAAATCTAAAGCCGGACAACACGACTGACAGGAACATGGGAGACAAGAAAGATGACCCCAAACTTAATGTGAGGCTCCTCCTCTAAAGCCAAATGAGTCAGGTGAAAAAGAAAACCAGTAATCTTTTTAAGCAAAAACTCTGCCCCCAACAACATAAAAGAACAGAGACCTGCTTGAAACCCCTTCCCTGCCCCAACGCCCCAACCCAGCACTCAGCACCACAAATCCTCTGGCTCCTCCTAGAGATGCTCCCACACCCCATCCAGCATGACTGGCCCTTCCTCAGGTCTCCCTTCAGAGGGCTTTTTACCCCTATCAATCACTCTCCTTGTACCCTATTCATTTCTTTCACAGCACTTCTCAGGGTTTAGAAAGAGATATTTCTAGAACAATAGTTAACTCAGAAGCTGCTGCTGCTCGGCCTAGCAGAGTACCTGGCACAAGGCATGTGTTCAACGAGCTCTTGGTGAATGAGTAAAACAAGTCCGCTCTGGAGTGATTGCCTCTCTATCAAAACGTCTAAAATGGAGGTGCCCAAACTTGTTGATCTCAAGACCTCTTTACACTCTAAAAAAGTATTGAGGCCCCAAAGAGCTTGTGTTTATATAGGGTATATTGATCATTCTTTACTATGTTAGAAATTTTAAAACACAAGGCCACCAGCACACGTTCCATTAGTGTCAGACAGAAGATGCCACATCACATGCCACTTAGTCCCTGGAAACTCCATGCACACTCATGAGGGAATGGAGTGAAAAGGGGAAATAATATCTTAGTGTTATTATAAAACTGGTTTTAACCTTGCCCCCACCTCAAGAGTCAGAACAATATTTTGAAAATTGTTGGTCTAAAGTTTTAGCCAAAAACCAAACTGTAACCATCAAAAGGAAAAAAAATATAAAAATATAGTAAAACTTTGCAAAAGGTGAGCCAAATAGCAAACCATTGCCCACAGCACTCTTTAAGGACCCAAAGTGGGGCTACATGCGTTGGAGTCATAAGACGCACACTACCCGATGCGCCGCCACTCCTCCCATTCATTCCCTTGTTTCTGTTGCATGAAAACAATATCTTGTCTTTGGGATATTGTTTTCTTCAGAATGAATTAAAAAAGGCACATTTTGCCTTACACTTAACCCATAAGTCTGAGTAACTGTATCTGTCACTAGTCAACTCTGTACTCAGAAACAGAGATGCAGACCCCGGTCATGACAGATACACCGTGGGGTGTGGCCAGCAAGCCTCCCTCCTAAGGCTGTGTGACAAGTGACAGTCTGCTTTATCTCATACCTACAGAATGGCAACAATAACTAGAAAACAGTCATGAGATCTAGGAGAATCATGCTCAAATTCACTGAGATTTGCTTGCCCAATAACAAAACAGCAAAAATTTTACTGCTCATTAAACTTGCCTACTCTGACTTCTACCCAGGAATATTGATGAACCAGAGGCACCTAATGCTCATGGTGTCTGAATCAAACTATTCAAAGTTCTAAGCTATTCGACCAGATACCAGCCCTCAGCAACTGCCAGAGCCTAGTAAGTCTGCTGCTGCAGGGAGGAGGGCACCCATGCTCCAAGCTTCATGATGGATGTCTAGCTTACCACTCCTTTTTCCTTGGTTAAGTGCTGCCAATCACGAACTTGCTCAAGAAGCTATGTCACCTTGACCAAGTCCAACTCCCAGTGCAGAGTGAGTAGGTTCCCTCAGAGTGAATTAACTCCATGTCTGTGTGCTGCCCATTCCTGCACGCAAGCTTCCCTGAGATATCAGCAGAGGCTCTAGAAAGCCCAGCCCCTACGATGAGCCTGGCCTAGGCGATTCCTGGTACCTAAAACAACTCCAGCAGGACACTGAGTTCAAGCCTCCTCAGGGAATTCCAAACTGCCTCTAAAGGATTTTAGGCCAAAGGACAGTGGTCCTCACAAAAATGTCCCCAGCCAACACGGTCCTCATTACCCCTGTGACTAACAGGGCTGCGAACATCTGCCTTTCAACTCTACCTAAAGTACTCGATTTCCCAAGCCAGTGACAAAGCAGTTTTCTACCACCGTTTAATGCCATCCTGGCTGACTCCTTTTATGTCCTGCTCTTAAGTATCTTCGCCTCAGCCACACCTTTCCTGAGCAGCCCTGGTTCCTTGTTGTTTTCTACCTTAGCCCCTTGTCTTTTACCTTTGTAGTAATGCTCTCCACCTGCAGTATTTTACAGAGGTCTGCTTACTACTCTCTTTGTATGGTCCAGCTTTCAAAGCATAATGTCTGGTACAAGAGTTAAGTGCTGGACAAAACCTGAACTCATGCAACCCTCATAAACACTGCACTGGGCCTCCCTGTGTACGTTACAGATGAGGGAACCTCATGCCAAGCAATGAGACAGCCTGCAGGTGGGGGCAGTGGTGATATAATACCCCTGGACAGGGAGTCATGTCACCTCATGCTGACGTGGCGGGCCCTCCACGAGCAGCCTCCACAGTCACCCGAGTCCACCCTGCAGCCATCCTCAGCACCTCCTTGCATTCTCCTTACTGGCCCACGCTCCAAGTCACCCTGGGAGTGATGACCATTTGAGAGACAAAAAGTATGCATTACACCCTACAACAGAGACCCCACCTCACGCCCACCCTTCAATACTACACAGATTCCCAAATCCCTTTGTCTGGCAGAGCACTAGTTAACAAAGGGTGGAATCAGAGCCAGTGGTACATGAAAATAAGCATCTTTAAGTGCATGAAAATAAGGAAGAGTGTAGGTGGCACATGGGGTTGCCAAGCATGGAGAAAATGCAGAGCTAGCAAATCGTGATACCTGCACACACGGCTTCCTGTGGAGACTGAGTAGGTTGCTGCTAAGTGCACATGTGGGTCTGCCCCACTCAGAGACAGTGTGGAACTAGCAAAGTATGGTGGAGCATTCCCATCCAGAGAAAATATGGAGCTAAGTAGGTCATTGGGACACATGCACTTAGAGCAGCCCCATCTAGACCCAATTCTAGAAACAGACAATTAAAGCTACAGGGTGCACTGTGAGTGTACTGTGCAGCTCTGCACACACTGGGAAGCCTCACTAGAATGAGAAGAGCAAGGAAGCATGCACATACCAGGCTTCCCCACCTGGAACCCACTCCTTCTGGCCAGGTGAAACACCAAGTACATTTCATGCATCTACCCCAACTACAACTGGCCTGCCAAAACCATCCAGCATACAGTATACACAGAGGCCACTATTTCATGATTGGGAGAGATAGTTATTTCATCTAACTCATAGGAACAAACACAGAAAGTCAAACAAAATAGGGAGACAGAAGAATATGCCCCAAATTAAGGAATAAGAAAGAACCCAGGAGAAAAACTCTAATGAAAGGGAGATAATAACTTCCCTGATAAAGGTTTAAAAGAAATGGCCATAGGATGCTCAACACACTTGAGAATAGAAGAACTCAAAGAGCACTTCAACAAAAGATTAGAAAATGTAATACAGACCAATCAGAGACAAAGAGTGCAATTACTGAAATGAAGACTATATAAAAAGGAATCAAGAGCAGATTAGTTAATACAGAAAAACAGATTAGTGAGCTGGAAGACAGAATAGTGGAAATCACCCAACCAGAATAGCAAAATGAAAAAAGAATTTTAAAAAATGACGACAGAAGGGATCTCTGGGATAACATCAACTGTTCTAACATGCAAAACGACAATAGACAGGCTCAGTTAAGGTAAAGATTGACCTTTTGTTAAAGAAGATACTACCCTACATGACAGGACTACTCTCCATGACTCGCTTTTAGTTCGCAAGTTTTAATATCCGATCATGTTGTGTAGTTACTCTGAGTTTGTAAGGCTACCATGCAGACCTTCCTTGAGCTTGTCAGGTTTACTATCAGGCCCCCTTTCTGTCCACACTGCCTTTATGTCTATTAATAAGAACTGAAACCATAAAAGCCCTAGAAGAAAACATAGACAGTAAACTATTTGGCATTAGTCTGAATAATACCTTTATGGATATGTCCCTTAAAGCAAGGGAAACAAAAGCAAAAATAAACAAATTGGACTTCATCAAAATAAAAATGTTCTGGAAACCAATAAAATGAAAAGACAACCTACTGAATGGGAGGATATATTTGCAAATAATACATCAGATAAGGGGTTGGTATCCAAAATATATAGGGAACTCCTAGAACTCAATTACAAAAAAATAAACCACCCAATCAAAAAATGGGCAAATCATCTTAGATTTGATTTGGCACATCAAGGTAAGGAGTTTGAATCTTGCTTTAAATGCAACAAAAGTGACTTATAAAAGAAGCATTGTGGTTCTATTCACCTGGTTGCTCTGTGGAGGACAACTTGGGAGGTGGCAAGAAGGTAGGAAGATTCTTGGGCAGCTACTGCAGTAGTTGAGGAGGCCTGGGCCCAGGAAGCAGTAACGCCAATGAAGAGGAACAAGGAGCTGGATTTAAAGCTTAGCAGAACACCGCACAGACATGTGCTCAGAAGGACTGTACTGAGCACCTCCAGGGCTAGACTCTATCCTTGACTCTGAAGATAAAGGGGTAAACAAGACACAACTCCATGGTCATGGAGCTTACATGTGGGGGGAAGTGGCAACAAAAAAAAGTCAATAAAAACTTGGGCAGTGATAAGTGGTCTGTCGAAAATAAAATGGGAAAAGTTAGGATGGACGACTAGGAAGAGGTGACAAATTTCACAAAACCTTGCACTTGTAACAGAGGCTCAATAAACAACACGCACATTCATTACCATTAATACAAAACAAAGTAATGTGTGATTCTGTTTTGGGTGAAGACTCTGCCATCAAAATTGTTTAACTATCCCAATATTCTTCCTTTATTACTCTCTAGGAGGATCACAACAACCTGGATACCCATTTTATTTATTTATTTATTTATTTATTTATTTATTTATTTATTTATTTATTTATTTATTTTTTTATTTATCATTGAATTTATTGAGGTGACATTGGTTAATAAAATTATAAAGATTTCAAGTGTACATTTCTATAATACATCATCTATATATGGTATTGTGTGTTCACCACAAAAGTCAGGTCTCCTTCCATCACCATTTATCCTCCCCCACCCTCCTTTCCCTCTGGTAATCAGCATACTGTTGTCTGTGTCTAGGAG